CTTTTTGTCGGCACAGCTGTTTGCATGGGCATGTGGTGGGCTGGATCAAGGACTGTTTCACCGTGAGGTCAAAAGATCAGCACGCAGGCAGAAGTGCTGGTGCTGAAGTGGAAGGCCCCGCAGCCTTTCTTCCTTCCTTCCCCTCCTTCTGGCCTCTCACTTATCAACTGGTTCAGGCTCTTCAAAGCGTTGGGATTTCTCAAAATTCCCTTTGTTCTAATGCACTTTATGGATTTCACAGTTGATATTAGAGGACTGTGTAGAGGAAGAACTGTGGTAGATTGTGTCCAATGTGTATTCCTTCAGTTGTAACTGCTGAAGTTGCAGCTTCAAGACTAGAGTGTTTAGCTTGTGTGCTTGTTTTGGTTGGTGAGGTGAGCTGTGTAGCAGTAATAGTGGATGTGAAATAAGAAAAAGGAAAGCAAATTTGGCTGAAAGCACAGGGTTTGGATTTCTTCATAGTATCATAGAATCATTCAGGCTGGAAAAGACCTTAAAGGTCATCGAGTCCAACCATGACCTAACCACACTATCCTAACTCTGACAACCCTCTGCTAAATCCTGTCCCTGAGCACCACATCCCAACGGATTTCAAATACATCCAGGGATGGTGACTCAACCAGCTCCCTGGGAGCCCATTCCAGTGCTTAACCATCCTTAATGTAAAGAAGTTTTTCCTGATAACCAACCTAAACTTACCCTGGAGCAACTTGAGGCCATTTCCCCTCCTCCTGTCACGAATGAGAAGAGACCAACCCTGCTGTCATTGAGCTAGTTTGCTTGGCAAGTCAGCACAAACATCTTTTTTTTTTTTTTTTTTTTTTTTTTTTTTTTTACATTCTAGAAGTCTTCATACAACAGCCTTAAAGGTTACAAAGAAAGTTTAAAAATTGTGTAATCCCATGCAGTAATTTCTTCCTTCATTGCTGGTATGGTCTTTACCAGACAAGTGGAGCTTTAAAGATTTCAATTCAACTGCAGTGGCTGTGCTTTGTAATGAGTATTTTTTTCCCAAATGCCTGCATATGTGAACCTTCTGGTTATAATTATTTTCCAGTGTGCCATTGTTTGATATTGCCATAGTGTTGATAGCAAGTAAGGCTTCTGAAGTCTATTACGGTAGCTTTTGTTTTATGGAGTGGTGGAACACATGTTCTGTAGTAGTTGCTGTTTTGACTGAGGTGTTGGCAACTTGAGTCTTTTATAAAGACTATTGGAAGACTAGAACTGATTAAAATAAAGGTATATTTCTAGTGGACTCCTTCTTTATATTGCTATGTCCACGTATCTCCACATGCTCTGACAATTGATTTTTCATGCCTGTCTGTATGGAAGCATCCTCTCTTGTTCGTTTTGCTGCCCTAAAGAAGATCTCTATCATACACACAGAGCAAGAAGAAGTATCCTGGTGACTGTGTTTCAGTATTTATTTTTTCTTCCTCTGAAAGCAGCATAATAAAGCCAGGTGCTCAAAGACTGAAACACACCCCACTGGTAATTGATATTTGGCTTGTGAGACTTCTCTGCCTCGGCAGCCCGAACCATCCTTGCTCCCACCTCCTCTGCTGACCTCCTCTAAACATCACAGACTTTGTCCTCGGCTGCCTTGGCCTCACAGGTTGCCGTATGAACAGGTTGAAGGTTTTTCCCCCACAGGTAAAATTCATCTTCAAATGTCTTCATAAAAGAATAGCTACAGAGAATGTCAGCTGCGCCATATGTCCCTTCCGTATCATCTGTCACTCTGCTTCAGGCCACCTGTATTACTAAGAAAAGCTTTGGCTCATCAAAAAACATTCAACGCTTCTGTATTTCTTGTAACCACTTAATTAAAAACAAGAAAGGAAACGGTAGAGAGGTGTAACAAATTCTGAATGATAGCAGTGTGTTTCGGTGTTTTTTTTATTCCTTGAAGTATTGGCTGGCATGTATCTTCATTTGCTATCTAATCATTTTCATTAATTCATGAAAGCTGTGAAATTAGCTTGAAATTGAGGAAAAGTGAAGTCAAATGAGAAGGAAAAGAGTTCTCATTTTCTAAACTTGACGTGTGACAAATAGAAATAAAGTGCCTGTGGATGCAAAGGATGTAGCTCACTAAATGCTGTAGAGCTCAAAGTATGTCCTGAAGTGTTTCCTGTGAAACTCAGTTCAGTATGATAGAGGAAAGTAGTAAGAGACACCATGAAGTGTTTTTTGTGGTACAGGTTAGATTGAAATTAGTATTCCTGTGCAGACAAAATTAGTTACTGTGTAGTAAAGTGAAGTATTGCGTATGCTTGAGCTTCTTGAGTCATCTAATTTAATCTAGCAAGTTAAATTTAATTGGAAGGGATTTTCTTTGGTATCTTTTTCACTGGATAACTGTCCTCTGGGGAAGGTAATAGATAATTAGATTCACATATGAAAGGAAATTAAACACTTCCTTTTTGTAGATTGAGTCCACATCTACAGACTTCTTTTGTAGGTGCCTGTATTGCAGGGGATGGGAAGCGGGAATGGGTGCAACATATTTTTAAAAATTCTTACAGCAGGCTCAGCGTCGTGAGCTGGTGCTGTGTTGTCCTGTGTGCCAACAGCTGCTTGTCTCAAATGGAGCTTATTGCTCCCAGCCTCACGACAGGTGGAATGGATTTCAGGATCAGCGTGCCTTTAGCTGGCTGGCTGACTTTACAGTGGGGAAGCTGAGTTTCCGATTCTGCCTTGGTACTTACTGGCCTGCTTATGTTTAAGCATCTTGATATGCTGTGGCCTTAAAACACAACTTCTTGATTCATTTTCCCTTTCCTACTCCTTTTCATAGAATCACAGAATGGTTTGGGTTGGAAGGGACCAGTTAAGATCATGTAGTTCTGACCCTCCTGCTATGGACAGGGGCACCTCCCACTAGACCAGGGTTCTCTATCATACTGAACTTGCTCAGTGCCCCCTCCAGCCTGGCCTTGAATGCTTCCAGGGAGGGAGGGCGCATCCACAGCCACGCTGGGTGACTGTTCCAGTGTCTCATCATCCTTGCACTCCGTAGACGTATAGGTGTCCTGCCCAGGTTCTGAGGAGCCTGAGAAGCAATGTAACTGTATGTAACATTATATGCATTTTCTGGCTCTCATCTCTTTTGTTATTTTATAGCAGGATAAGTGTCTGTATAACACAGGGCATAGAGGTCTATGTGAACATGACATTCCAGCAGTGATAAAGCCCTCAATGTGATGATGCTGTACCTTATCAATAGAATGATTTTTCTTGTATGTAGGCTCGCCCATTGTTTACTGACAAATGGCTTTAGTGGCAGTATGTGCAGCTCCCAGCCTGACACTGCTCCCTTGGATGCACTGGCAGGTGGAAATGCTGATGCTGCTGCCATGGAACTGCTGATTCTGGATTGTTTTAAGCCAGGATTGGCTCTGTGATATGGGTACAGTCAGCACACTGGCATGGCTAGGGAGGCAGTGTTTGGGTCATCGGGACAGAGCTGGGGCTGGGAACGGTACAGAAATCCTGAATGTGTTGCAAATTCATTTGTGTCCTTTGAAATATATTTGCATGAGTGAGCGTAGGAAGCTTAGAGCAGATTGGATGTCCTTACGGTGTGGCATATAAATGGCACTGGCAGCCTGTGCAGATAAGTCCAACAAGAAGTTGGGCCACATAAATTTATTGTGGTGTGTTTATGAAGATAACGTCAGTATTATGATCTGTAGGAGCTTGATGCATTTGATATGAATGGTTGGATTGGAATGTTAATTACTATGGCTTCAATGCTTCAAATATTTCATTCACTTGCTAAAGTGAGATGTTAACTGCATCAAGGCAGTCATTCAACGCTGTGTGAGTTATTTTAATGAAGTGCCTGTATTGTAACAGCCCGGTTATATTTGAAGAACTTTAAGCCATGTGCAACTATTGTGTTTATATTACTGCTATTGTAGACACACAGAGTAAATATGCCATAAAACTAGGGTAATAAATTAATATGGCACCCACAGGTTACCACTTGCTGCAGTAGAAATAAAATTTCTCTTTGTGTAAGTCAACGCGGGAAGGTGGTGATAAAATTAACTGCAAGCAGTGAAAACAAGCAGGACGAAAAGCAGGAAATGAGGCTAAAATTACCTGAGGAAATGAGGCTTCTGCAGAACTCCTTGTCTCTGCCTAATGTCCTTTTTCCAGTGTCAGCCTCTTCTTTTTTTGGGGGTGGAATGGTGCCTACGGAGACTTGCGAAGGCTGGCAGTAGAGGAGAGAGAAGTCTGCGCGGAGCTCTAGCGGGATGGTGGCCAGAATGGGCAGCTCCTCAGTGTAGCCACCTCATGGTGCCTGGGGCAGGGTTACTGCTGGAGGAAGAGCAACAAATCTGGGTAGAAAAAGCAGGCTTCCCTAATTCTAATGTGTACAGAACAACTTGCTACTCTAAACAGAAGGAGACAAGCTTGAAGTGTACTTATTATGTAAGCTGGATGTGCTTGAGCAAAGGCTATTCACACATACAGATGTTTTATGTATTTATACATGCAGCAACATCTTTAACTGGGGCTGAGTAGTACTTTCAGTTCTTCAGAGTTGATTCTGATTCCAGGACAGACATTCGTTTTAAAACCTGTGCCCCATGTTAGAGTAAGTCTTCAATGCTTTCTGTGAGTGATCAGTTGTTTCGTTTTTCACTTGTGGACTTCTGTGCTTAAGGTAGAATGGGAAATGCTGATGTTATTACCGTGATACTCTTTAGATTGCTTCTGTTTTTACTGAATCAGAAGTAAAGTTATCCTTTACTTTACTAAATCTCTTAATTGTTAGCCAGTACCTTGTGCTGTGGAGGCACGTTATTATCATAGCAGCTGAGAGGTTTGGAAGGAGATCCATACCAGGTCACCACACGGTGTTCTTTGATACTCGTTTGGTGTTGTAGTTTCAGTGGGCGTAATCAATTAAAATAGTTTGTGCAGAGCTGCTTACGTTAAACAGTTTGTATTTATTACACTGCCTCTTCTCCTTCTCCTTCTAGGAAACCCAGCGCTTGCTGGCAGAGCCAGTCCCTGGGATAAAAGCAGAACCAGATGAAAGCAACGCACGTTATTTTCACGTGGTCATTGCAGGCCCACAGGATTCCCCCTTTGAGGGTGGGACATTTAAACTTGAACTATTCCTTCCAGAAGAATATCCAATGGCAGCTCCTAAAGTACGTTTCATGACCAAAATTTATCACCCTAATGTAGACAAGCTGGGAAGAATATGTTTAGATATTTTGAAAGGTAAGTGCAACCTTGTTTTCTTATTATCTTACCACATACAGAAGCTTGGAGATTCTCTCTGAAAGAGATTTCTTTATAAGGATATCTTATTTATCCTTTAATCTGGGAGTGGGAAACTTGTTATTTCAGTAGACTGTGAATGTGGTATTTCATGCTTTCATAAATGTCTCTTTAGATAAATGGTCCCCAGCTTTGCAGATTCGTACAGTTCTGCTATCAATCCAGGCTTTGTTAAGCGCTCCCAATCCAGATGATCCACTAGCAAATGATGTAGCTGAGCAATGGAAGACCAATGAAGCCCAAGCCATAGAAACAGGTGATGTATCTGATGCTTTTCTTCCAGTTTTAGGAAATATGATGAGCTGATGGCTAATTGGTTGGGGAATTGAAATCCCGGCCTCCTATATTGTGCCTGCAACTTGCAGAAGTAATTACTGCATGCAGTTGTTGTCCAGGTTTCCTGCATATGCCTGCAGTGGTCTACTCAAGTGTGTAAATGCAACCTGCTAGAAAGAAAACTTAGTGGTTTTCTCTTGAGCTTTTACATTCCTAAATCGCAGGGATGTCCGGTGTGGAGACGTGGTAAAATAGAAGTGTGTGCTTATGTTTTACCTGTGATGCTTAAGAAATGAGTTGTTTAGTTTCAGAAGATATTTCTTCCATAGCTGCTTTTGTTTCAGGTATGGAAAGAATTATTGCATTGTGTCACTTCTGGCCTCGCTGTGATTGGGCTGCTTCATCAGATCTCTGTTTTTGTGTATTACATATTGTGTATTATAGGAGGTCAAAATTGTGCTTGTTTCACAACTGATACATTTTGTGTCTTTGCAGCAGTGTAAAAGTAATGTTTAGAAAACAAAATAACTTGAATAAAGCTTGAGAAGTACTTTTTTTTTTTTTCTTAAATGTGCTTTTTTTTCCTTTACAGCCAGAGCATGGACTAGGCTATATGCCATGAATAATATTTAAATGCGCTTTGAACATCAAGTGTGCATCACTTCTCCTGTTCTGCCAAGACCTCTTCCTTTTTTGTTTGCATTTAATGGACACAGTCTTAGAAACATTACAGAATAAAAGCCCAGACATCTTCAGTCTTTTGGTGATTAAATGCACATTAGCAAATCTGTGTCTTGTCCTAATTCACTATTGTAACGCATGAGCAGAGGCTAGAAGTATCATCTGGATTGTTGTGAAACTGTTTAAAAGCAGCAGCACATCTCTGCTTTTAATCCCATCATGGTTTAAGCATAAGCACTGTGAATGAAGGTAGGCAGGGTTAGCTGCGGGGCTTTTCCTTTTAATTTTGTGGGCTCCTCCTCCCTTTTTATGGTGATGCTAATTGCATTGATAAAAGCAGCTAACCAGTTATACTTTAGAATATACCCTCTAGCCCAGTCTAACTTAGACGCTGTAGATGGACAAGCTTCATTGTTTGAACAAAAAAATGGGAACATTAAACATCCATCACCTTCACTAATAATATTGTGATTCTGCTGTCAAGTGTAGAAAAATCCCTCAGAGAAAAAGCTTGTGACCATTTTGTATGGCTTGTCTGGAAAATCTCCTGTAAATCTTATGTTTTAGTAAAATATTTTTTGTTATTCTACTTTGCCTTTGTACAGTTTATTTTGCTGTGTTTTCATTTCTCTAATGTGACAATCGTATTTAAAAGGAAAAAACAAAAAAACATGGAAACCAGAATTGACAATTTGTCTGCTAGTCTGACAGATTAAAAGAGTAAAGAGGTGGAATTTACAAGATGTTTTGCTTCTGTACGCTGACTTTTTTCATTAGCTTGTGTTATGTGGGTGACCTTACCTGTCCAATTTAATACAAAGTTACAGTTGGAGTGACTTGAGGGGAGAGGGAAAAAAATCTGTTACAATTATAATCATCATTTTGATAATGCGTTGATATGCGTTGTCACGGAGATGGAGTGTAATCAAGTAGGAGGCTGAGAGCAAAGGTAGCAGTAATTGTGAGTATCTGCATAACTTGTCTTTGATTATCATCAGTTGTTACACTCTTCTAACTCGAATTCCTGTCCTCTGTAACCGTGAGACATACAATGCACAGAAACAGTTGCAGCTAGCTTATATATCAACATGTTTGCTAACCACGTCTAGCTAGCACCTCTTGCCACTGGTTTTATCTACTGGCCTTATGCCTTATTAAGCTGTTTGCTTAAACAACCAGTCTGCGTCAATAGTAGCAATGCTTCTGACTTGGAGGGAAGGGAATTTCGGTGCGATGCTTCCTTCTTGTCCTTGTGTTTGATGCGTGTGTCGTGTCTGGGAATCCAGCAGCCTTTCTGGGAACCCATCTTATTACTTCCTATAACTTCTTGTATCTCTATTCTCTTCCCATGTTAGCTGCAACCTCCCAAATACAGTTGTAAAAGCTTTTGGTGAGGCTGACCTGAAGTCAGTTGCAGTGGGGAGTGCTGTTGTGCAATTTGGATTATGATCATATAGGCTATTCTCCTTCCTCTTTTTACCTCCTAACTCTAGTATCAGCTGAAATCTCTATAGAATGTGGTCTATTTACTGTGCTCCTAAGGGAGATTAAGAGTATCTATTAAAACTGCTTTTTTTCCAGACAGAATGCTTTCAGTGATTGGTAACTGGTCTTCTCCCTTGGAGTGCTCCAAGCGTGCTGAAGCTTGGCTCAGAATTCAACTTCATGATACGAAACAAACAAAACCCCTTAAAAGTAGTTTCTGTGTTGAACACAAGCCAAAGTTGCATTCAGGGCTTGTAACAGGTTGCTCTTAGAATGGAAGAGCTGTTAACCCTACCTTCATGTTACAAATGAGCATGTGCTTGGCTTCGGCTGCTGTGTGTCCCCTATATGCTATTAACACGGGCAGCTTTTGTGGCAGGCAGCTGAGAATGCGTGAGCTGTGTGTGCAGTAGGCTCTGCATTACCTTCACCTACCTCTTAAAGCTTGATATGGGCACTCCCCACTGGATAAGGCTTGCCTCAGCTCTCTGATGTAAGGAAGCACGGAGCTGCCGGGCGGTCAGAGCCCTGAGCATCCCCTGTGAATGTGGCTTTCTCCTCCTTTGGCAGAGAAGCAGGTTCTGAAGTGGTGTTTCACAGCATGTGGCTTAAAACTAGGTGGGCTGAATCCAGGGCATCGGGCAGACGGTTGGTGTTTGTAAGTGCATGGCTTAAACCTGGCTGTTGAGATGAGAATGTAATTAAAGCTGCGAGTAAGTTCTTGATGGAATATTGTTAATATATAAATAGAAATCCTCTGCCCCCATTTGTTAGTAACCAAATTAAGTGCATTATAGACCAGTTTGAATACACAGTAGCTGGTATGTGTCTGGGTTATTTATTTTTTTCTCTCTTTTACTGTTATTTTTAGTATCTCAACAAATTGGAGAATTACAGAAGTCCATACTGTCAGTTTGAATTTGTGAGTCAGTAGTAGTGGTGTATCTAATGGTATAAAAGGACAAGCGAGATACTGTATTTCAAAACTGTTTTGGATATTCTCAAGTGATAGTTGTGATGAAAGGAAACTGTAAACAGGCTTCCTAAAAACCGAAATTCCTGTTTGTTGTGGGATCTATTCAGGTATGTTTTAATCTTTCCAAATTTGGCATTTTATGTATGCGTGTATATATATATATGTAATATAAACCTGATTTAAGAGCTGTGTATAAAGTCAACCTGGAAATTTTATTCTATGTTGTGTTGAGGAATGTGAGTTTTAGACTGAAGTAGAATCGCAGAATGGTTTGAGTTGGAAGGGACCCTTGAAGGTCACCTAGCCCAACTCCCTGCAACAAACAGGGATTCTCTGAAGCCAGGTAGATGGGGCTTTGTCTTTTTCCCCTCAGCTTAGCAGGTGTGTATATTTACAGGCATTATCTGAACTTGAGGTTACTTCTGTCACGTGTACCTTTACAGCTGGTTAGCAAATGCTGCTCTCTCTTAGGGAGTGTTCGTTCTAGCTCCATTTCTAGTGGCTATTGGGTAAACTTACAGCAAATGTACAATAAGTGGGCTTCCTCTGCCATTACTGGTGCTATGTGTCGTGTCCTGGAATCCTCAGTGAGAGCACTGACATTGCATCTGGTCAGTTTCTGCATAGCGACTGCTTCTGTTGAGCCCGGATTATCAAATGGACTCTAAAACCATGCATACAGAACACGGCTGTGGCAATTTCCTTTAGCTCAAGAGGGAAAGGAGGCTTTGGGAGGCTTTTGTCTTTGCATAAACGTTCGGTGGTTGTCTCAACATTTGGCCGCGTGCTTTCATGGGTATGAAGTGTTTCATCACTGGGATCTGGCGTTTGTGCGGTAGCTGACTTTAGTTTAAAACCGGTGAAATGTTGCTTCTGTAGCTTTCGAGAAAGTGTATCTCCAACATGGAGAATATTGTGAACCATCTTAATGCATTAGTAGCATACGGAATTGTGACATCTCGATTTATGTACATTCTGTGGGGGTTTTTTTTCCTTTTGTTTCTTTTTTTTTTTTGTTTGTTTTTTGTTTTTTTTTTGAGGGTTACATTTAAAGTGAAATGTCTGGTAGGTTTTGTCAATAACATGTCTTGACTGTAATGTAATATGACACTGAAATAAAAGGAAGAGTGATTATTCATTACACAGACACTGAGCTTCATTTAACTGCAGCAGGCTGCCACCGCTGTGCAGTGCAACTTGCCAGTACTCATCATCTCTTAAAATAAGGAAACGTTAACTTCGCTCATCAGTCACTTGTAATTGTTTGTGTTTTTTTTCTCATTTCTAGGGGGAGGAAAGCTGTGGTGCACAAGCTCAGAGCTTTGCCTGCCTGTATCTGCCTTTTTTAGCCCAAGACTTTTACTGTAACACTGCACAATTTGGATACTACAGCCCAGTATAACTGGCAGGTTTATTAAGTGTTGCTAAGCCATGTTACAGCACTAGCATAGCTCATAATTACATCTGCCATAATGGAGTTCATTGCCACATATCAGCACCTTTCCTGTCAAAGCCTGCAGGAACAGCTTGGGGCATATAGCTGATGGCAGTGGAAACAGCTTGAACACTCCCCCGAGGATGAAGGGTGGCTGTAGTCTTACATTCCATGCAGCAAAGGCAGGTTCATCTTAACATGATACAGTGAACTGACCCTAGTAGTACTTTCAGTTGTTTGGTAATTCGCTATGTTCAAAGGTGAGTTTTGCTCAGGGCATACCCAGAATGCAGGCACAAAATCTTCAGAATTCAGATGAATGGCAGCTAAAAAGACCTTGGTAGGAAGCCTTTGTGGCTGTAGCAGAGGCTAGGCTACAGTGAGAGGGATGAGGTGCTATCTGTGCTTCTTAATACCGTCCACTAGAATGAACCATAACAGATACCTAGGGAAAGTTAATGGGAACCAGAGCTGACACTGAAAGCAGGGCAGTTGAGCATGGGGGATCAGGTAGAGAGCAGCTGATCATGGACCAGTCTCAGTGGCCTCTGCTCCTCAACTAGCTGCACAGGGCAGAGATAGGGCTCAGCTCCACCCCTCTCCATGCCACAGGCAGGGACATGGCAGCTGTTGCTGCAGTTCCAAGTTTTGTTGTTTTGAAGCATGAAAAAAAGATGAATCCCCCATTGTGCATTTTAAAGGAGATGCAAGTCTTGCACGGGGAGTGCGGATGCAGCATTTGAGATTGAATGACCACATCATCCACAGGACTAATTTAGATTTTATTTTGGTATTTCTCAAATATAAAAAGTCAAAATTCTTACATCAATCTTTAAAGAAAATCCATGCAAGCAGGTCAAAATGTTTACAACTTATTTTGCACCCCCCACCCCCCCTCAGTTTTCACTTCACAAACCATGGTGGTAAGTAAACCAAGAGTTTGCCTTCTCTTGTTTTGTTTTTCACAGCACATTGTTAGCAGACTACTGACAGGTTAACGCAGGGTGCAGTAAGCACCAAAATAAGATATTCCACTTCAGCAGCCTCTGTGCAGTCCTTCACTATTTCTTCTGTGTGCTTTTAAACTTTAAGGCAATTTCTCTTTGCTACCACTGTAATGACAGAACTTAATGCAGGAAGCAGTGGCATGAACTCAGCTTTCTGACAGTAGCACTTCTCTTTCCTCAGGAGAACCAAATCTGGGTGTGTCTTACAGAATGCATGGCATGAGGGCAGTCCCACGTCCATTCCCTATACAGCAGATTTGGACCATCTAAATAGAGATGTGCAGAAAATAAGAAGGCTTCACATTTTAATGGACAGGTACTAGAAAAACACCTGTAGCTTTCCAACTGATTCTTAAACAGACCCTTTCTGTTAAGCTTAGGGTCAGATTTCATTACAGCTGAAGCCAGACCACTGCTCCTTTACTAAAATGGTTTTCTTTCAGCACAACTGAAGTGCTTTCAATTTACCTGCAGTCAGGTTTGTCCAATTCACAGAACATTCATCTCTGAGAGGAAGTCAAACTAAGCATCACAGCGTTTCCTTCTGAAGGCTGCAGCACAGAGACTGAAGAGGTTTATACAATGAATGCTGCTTCAAAACCCATCTGGCATTGCTGAACAGCTCAAATGTGTGTGACCAAAAAAAATAACCAAAATATTTATAGGCAATCAACTCTGAGTTTGTT